TTTAAACAAATAAGGCGAGGTACTCTTTTAAATTTCAAAATTTAACTGAAGAAAATAATCATTACCTGCTCTTTAAGACGCTCTTCACTCATTCCCAGTGAACGCATCCCACGTGCTCTGCATGCCTGCTGGAGCTCAGGTACCGTTAAAGTATCCACTCCACCTTCTAAAGCTATTTCCTAAAAGAAAATAAAAAAAATCCAAAGTTTTCATAAGAAATTCTCTTCTCTTCCAGAAATTACATTCATAAAAAAATGTCTGTAAATCAAATTTCCGAAAAGCAAGCATATTCATGTAAAATTAAAGTAACACTAAAAGTAAATTTTCCAATTATACATCTAGAAATAGTTAAACAAACATAGTAGCAACAAACAAAAACAGCTGAGGGAGTATCATGGATCTTATGAGAGTTGTTATCAGACTGTGCTGTTAATCGGGAAGGTAAACATTGACAGACAATCACCCTGATATCAAACAGAAATAGCATTACAAGTTGATGAAAACTGTTGCACCAATACCTGGTCGTCTGCTCTTAGGGCCCGCAATTTCAACGATAACTGAAATCGGATAATTTCAAGTGAACCGAACGGTTGAATATTCAAAAGACGACATAATGCTCGAAGTGTGTTAGCTGGCAAATTGTCCAACGTAAGTTCATCTTCAAACAACTTAATATACTTGAGAAGATCCTTGTTAGTAACATAACTGCCTTCTGAACGCACCTGAAAATTGTAACAGTTTTGTACATAGCCATATCTCCTCTATGAAAATCAATTAAATCAATTAAACTCTGATATCAACGAAAATTCTCAACTACAATATATCTTGTAAAATTTTATCTAAAATAATTTTAAAATAAGGCTAAAGAATTCCTTGTGTTCTAATTTGAGTATATATAACATTTATTTTATGGAGGCAAACCTTCTTTATGAATTCTGCAAATTCAACAGCAATGCTGGCTGTCTTATCATCATCCTTAGCATTTTTCTTTTTATATAAAGCCATTTCTTCCATAGCAGCTTGGAGTAGTTTCGCTGTTTCCAGTTTTGCCGTCAGTTTTCTTCGCAATTTTTCCTCCTGCAATACATCAGAGTGAATAATTTTTCATAAGAAAATTGTATAAAGTAACGACAACGCTGCCAGTAAATTGCTATGACATAACAAGAAGAGCCTCACCAAAGCTACTCCATCCTAAATCAAATATAACTATTTCGGCCTTTTAATCTGCCATATTAAGTTCACATTTTACTAAAAAATGGGAGCAGGAAAGGATATGGAAACTTGCCACCTCCATTACTGTACACATGAATTACTTTTTTGAAGTTCATTGAAATATTCAGTAATACCTTTGCATTTATATCATCAAAAAAGACTGACAGAAGGTCATAATTGATAAAATTAATTCTATCCCTTAAATGTGAAAATACAAATCGACTTTTCAGGAAAAATATAAAATAAAGTAGTAATAAAAAAAGCAATCACTTCTTTAGTAGCGTCCTTGAATGTGCTTGGCAACATATTTGGGAATAATTTTAGGAAGAAAGGTAACGTAAATTCCATAAAAGGCACGATAACGAAAGCAGAAAATGGAATCAGTCGTAGTACATCGGACAGAGTTCTCACCAGCTGTTGTTTTTCACGACGTAACAGCGGTTTTCTACGCAAGAATCTCCATAAATATTTGGCACTTAGTCGCATTTCCAGAAATAACAATCGGAAACCATGATAGTAATGTTTGCAACCTTTTTTGAAGGCTTTCGGCCATCGTATGTATACAGGTTCCAGGGCCACTTGCTGCTTTGCTTTTTCTACCATCTGCAATACTGAATTTCTTGAAGAAAAAATGTTTAACAAACCTGAGATTCTAGTGATTACGGAAGCTTTTTTCAGCTTAAAATCATTAATAGTTCTTCATATTCCGTATTAAATGATCCCCTGATTAAAATTTTATAAAAGTCGTCACTGTTCGAATACGTTATATTAGAGCTATTTTCACCGAAATCTGATGCTAATATTGAAAATAAGTTATTTCAGTGCATCCTAACCTGTTTACGTGCTTGCCCTTCTTTTTCCTCTAATGTCGCTTGCTCTTTCAGCCTTTTCAGTGTTTCCTCCAGTTTACTCTTGTCATACAAAAACTGTACACAAGATCTGTGAAAGGTTCGCGTCTCAGTTTCATAAACACTAAACCTTACTAAACAACTTCGCAGCCTAAAAAAAATTCCATTAAATTTAACTAGGTCATTTTGTAAACTTGAAAAAATAAAGTCATAGAAAACTGGAATGACTTATTCTGGGAGAATAGGAAAAAAGATAAGATAGATATAATACCTGAGAGTGGATATTGGCCTTTTGGATGCATAAAATGCTAGACCACATGCTCGTCGAAATATCATATCATACAAGAATGTGGTACCGATCACCTGGTTACCAGGTACTTCTTAATATCTGAAATAAACCATAAACAATATTTCGATGGATCGAGCAGTTAATCAATTATCTTCTCTGATAGAATAAATTATCAAACAAAATCGTTTAGCATTATAAATGCAAAAAAATTATTCAAACATCATTCATTTATTTAAATTCCATTTTATCAATGCAACTCAATAGTAGGCATACAACAGTACTCATATCTTGTCATTTCTTCATAATATGTAATCACTGTACCGTCGTATCACAAAGTTCACAAAAAGAAAAGAGAAAAACAGGAAAAAAAAACAATATTAAAAAATGAAACACAATTTTCAACACAAATCTTTAATTTTCAACGTTTTACATTGAAAATTAATTCGATATTCATCGCAGCAATCATTTCCCAACTTAATAACATTGCTGTTATCAGTTAATATCATCATACAATGATTCGATCATCATATAGCATAGCGATCAACTCATTTCTTGAGAATTTCTTCCACAATTTGATCATTCATAATTGATACAACTTGTAAGTATAATCACGCATAATATTATTTGTATGAATGTAGCAAACGCAATAAATTGATTTTTTCGGGATTAAATTTCGGAAAAATCAATCGCAGCTAGTCACAATAACAAGAATGTACGTATCTGATTTAATAAACTAACACCATGCTTGTTGTCAATTGTCATAAGCTAACAAAGTTACGAATACCATTTCTGATATATTTTTGTTTTACTCCATTTGATTTAAAATGAAACTTGATTTTACCATTTATTTTTCCATCTCCATAATACTCAAATTCAAAGAAACAATCTTTCTTTAACATTTCATAAAGCTATTTCGTGAAATCTTCTCAGTTGAAAATACCCCCTCATCTAAGTTTAACCTTATCATTTCCACTATTCCCGAATCATTCCTGTGTTGTTTAATTACTTCTATCTTTCTATGATTTTCTACAATTATTTCTATCATTTGGTGATTATTTTTAAAATGCTCAATTCGAACAGATCCATTGTTTATATCTTTCACATTTATGCAAATGACAGTCGCGTTGAAATGCATTACTTAAGAAAGCGTACGAGTTAACATTAAACTTACCAGTAAATGAATGAATATTAAATAATAAATATTGATAATATGATAATTTGATAGTGATAATGTTGATAATGTGATGGCATTTTCGTCAGGAACCAACGGAAGAAATTTGCCAATAAATTTGAAGTTAGAAAAAAATAGTAAAACATGTAACCCAAACATTTCCCAGTAATGAGCACTTTATGATATGCAAAGCACAGTCAACATTCTGATGCATTAAAAGAAAAAAAAACAACGATGAGATTGAAATTTTCGTCAGAAACCAACGGGAGTTACACAGGATACATCAAAGATGTTGATTGAGAGTTGGTTTACACTTACGGTTTTATGTTGATTATGAGACACTGATAGAGTTAATTTGCTACAATGGTATACATGGCGCTATCTGCTTCGGTAGTCGGTGGTGACATACATGTGTATATACACATATATGATTACGAGAGAACTGACAATAGAACTAAAATAATAATCTAAATAATAATGGTGCAGCACGATGCAAATTCCGAGGATTCCCGGGTAAGTTTTTCTCCACTCTAAACTTACCTCATTCAGTGTAGATATTTGCAAGTTTGCAGTAAATGTGCATAGGTAATTAAAATAGCCTAGTTTGCAAATAGTGTTACATGCATTTATGCATTACTTTTAGTGCACTATTTAATAAAAAGTTTTTATATCAAAAAAGGGAAAAAATAGTAAAGTTTTTTAGCACCTTTTCTATTATCAGAGAAGATTGCTAAGTAGCAATGAAATTTCTGCGTTAATGTTGTTACCTAGGTTTGAACTAATTTACTAATTTCATTGTATTTTTGTTTCTTTTTTGTAGCGAAGGAATTATTACTAACTTAGGTTTGAACTAATTTATTAGTTTTATATTGTTTTTTTATCTTTTAATATATATTGTGTTATAGATTTTTGAATTGGTAGAAAGACTTGCAAAATTACCTGCTAATGATGTCCATCAGTATTTTCGTGGTTTCCGCGCTATTCAGGATGAGCTTGATGCGGAGCAGTGTAAAATTCAAATAAGTGTTTTCCTTTCGTTATGATATTTCAGTACCTTAAATTATCTTGACGAATAGAAAAAGGGCAAGATTGCAGTAGTGAGGAGACGAAATGTCGATAGCTGGCTTTACATGGTTTTACTGCAACATTGATGTACCTCAAAGGTTTTGATGTTAAACTTATGCTTATCTCATTCTTTAAGAAGAAATCAGTGTAAGATTTCTTTGAATGATTTGAGGGCATCCAAACTAGATGTAAATTGGTGTTGTCCTATTTCCAATTGTTATTAGCTTTCCTGTTATCATTATAGTGTTTTTGTTGCAAGTGTTGTTCACTGTCTGATGTTAGTTGTGTGTATTCTCTTATGATGAGTGGTGAACGAAATAGCATTTTGTAAGTCATATGCATCTATATTATTCTAGCGATGAACTTTTGCTTGATTATTTAGCTATAAGCAGAAATATTATGCTTATAGGAAAGAATGTGCTATATGCAAGAGAATCTACCAGCTCAATTATCAAATTTGCGACGTTTTCGAAAGAAATTGGTTTACTTGAAGCAAAAGGTTCAGAGTGCTTTGAAGAACTATCATGATCAACAGGAGCGGTTGTGGTCGTCGCTTAAGCAGGTTATTTTGTACTATTAATTTTAGTGTATTGTTTCCGTTTTGGATTATCGCAGTTTTGTACTGCTAAACTTCTAAATAGATTTGAGTTCTCTTTTACACCTACAGCGGGGTCCTTTTATTCCTCATTGGCGAGAATTTTCAGTGGGAGTGGTAGTAGTTTGAAAAAAGCTTTTCTTTCAGAATGCACCAGATCTTCACAATCATTTGGAATGTGTTGCGCAGAAAATGAAAGAGTTGAATTACCTTATAGCCGCTCATAAGCTGACATTTGCAATATCAAAGATTAAGAAAGTAATAAATGGTTCTGACTTTTTTTTGCTATATGACAATATTCAATTCCTGAAACAGAACGCTAATTCGGATTTGAAATTGGTATGTGGAAAACTTCCTAATTCTTAGGTAGTATCAAAAATAGGTCGCGAAGAAAGTTGAAGAGATTTTTTATATATACTCAAATGTAGATGGTTCGTTTGGACAATGGTTGAAAAAAACGGAGATGCTAAAATATTCGAAATTTTTTATTTAGGATGAAAACGAAGCTAAAAACATTGATAAAATGAGGAGGCAGCTGATCAATGAAACAGAACATCTTGTTTCTGGTTCTCTTAGAAATTTATTGAAGAAAATTCGTTACCCACTTGAAGAACCTGTTGATCTGAAAACTCATGAGAAGCTAATTCAGCAAATCGCTACTTTGCTGAAATGTATCAGTATTCTGGATAATGGTATTGTTACTTTACACTGTGACAGGTACGATTTTGGGAAGCTTCACTTTTTCCTGCGTGCATTTACTGTGTAATGGTACTTTTAAGTAAAATTATCAAAATAATATTACTTTGTTTATAAATCACATTCAAACTGCAGTGCTTTGATTGACTTTATTCAAGATCAAAACTTTTGACTGAACTAGTTGGTCCAGTGGAGAGGCGATTCCAATTCCACTTTTTCACGGAGCAGAAAACAAATGATTCATCTAAACCAGAATGGTTTTTTACGCAAATACTCACTTGGATAACAGCAAATGTTGATCTGATTAGCTCCATTTTGCTACTAATTGTTAAGAATGATGTAAGCTTCATTTTTTTTTTCTTTTTTTTGAATTTTAAAAGATGTAAACAGCATTTTTGTATCTTTTGAAAGCAATTAACTGAAATAGTATTTCCGAGCGGAATTAACGCACTGCTTTTTTACTTAACCTAAAAGTTATTGTTTTTCAAGGCTGAACGAAATGAAATGGTGAATGAATATGTGAATAAGCTAATGAATTTAGCACAGAAAAAAGTGCAAAATATTGTTAAAGAAGTACAAGACGATCCTGAATTGTTCTCTCATCTTATTGATGAGTGTGTTGCCTTCGAAAACGAGTTGCAGGGTAGATATCTCTCTTTTCTTCATGTACAATCATTGTTTGTTATCTGTTGTTATTGAGTATGATCTGTGAGAACGACAACTTTGTCATACTTAACTAAAAATACTATTGTGATTTAGCTTTTAAATGATCTTTTTTCTTAGATTTTCTCTTCAGATTCCATCCATTATGTATTATTTCTAGCTACCTCATGATTTTCAGATATTGCTATTCCGATACGTCCGGGTAATGTGCTGGTTGTTTTGTGTGAAGATATTTATTTACTAAAATGGCTACAGCTCGAACGTGAGAGCTGTATTGCAGGAGTAGAAAATGTGCTTTGTGGAGAGGATTGCTGGAACAACCGATATCACACCTTTTCAGATGTCGATATGGTATACACAGTCATGTATTTTTTGAAGCCCTGGTTAATAATTTACATATTCTAAATTTGAATATCAAAAGCACAGAGAAAAGACAGAAAATTTTTCCAGCAACAAGCACCGGAATGTACCGATCAATTCTTGTTGATGATTGAATCAATTACAGAACGTTATCGTTGGATAGAGAGTTTGGATGTGCAGTCACAGTTCCTGAACGTGCAGGTAAACGTATTCGGCCACGCTCTGCTGGGTATTGAGGGGTAAAAAAACTTAATTTAATATTGGAAGTCACCAGTACTTTAACTTTTTTTTTAGTGGCATTGTTTTCACAAGTTTTTATTATATATGTATAGAGTGTTGCCATACCAGGTAGTTTTAGGATGCAGTACAAAAAGTTAGATATATATCAGATGCAAAAAATATATATATATATGTATAAAAAGTTAGATGTATATGAGATGTATCAGATGCTGATTTACTTGTAGATCTTCATGTTGGATGATTTCCGGCTACGTCTCGTACATATCTCTCAACAGCTTGGCTCTCCATGGGAAAAACCCTTTATTCAGATCTTAAACTCTGCTTGGTATGCTTAAAATTCAATGGTTCAGTTTTTTGGCATTAAAGGATTGAAATTTAATGTTATAGGTGGTAGAATGTAAGTTTATAAACTATTATTTTAGAAGAGATGTGAGCAGTATCCATAGAATTGCATTAACTGTTTTAGAACAACCTAAGATTGCTCTTTATTATTATCTCTTCTAAAAAAAAGGAGATTTATAATGCCTTCATTATATCTGTATTAAATAAAAACGTTAAATAATAAAATTTTAACGGATTTATTTGTTATCATTCACTGTTCAGGGCAGTTGCATTTGTGCAGGTACTTAGCTTATGTGTTGGATGAATGGAATGAAGTGGACATATTCATACGCATTCAAGCGCTTGGAAAGAGAACTCATTTTCGAGGTGTTTTCGAAGATGTAGCCAATATGTATAGGCATTTATGGCGGCAAAAGGCTGAAGATCTCACAGCTGCATTCTACCAACATATCCGTGCCTCACTGAGTCGTTATCAACGTGAACAATGGTATTTTTCTTTCTTAACTTTCAACTTATCGACTGCAGTTAGGAATTATTCTGAAGAAGTTTGTTATGGTTTGTTTGTTTGGAGAATTACATATTGTTACATGATTGCAGCTTCCTTTTGCCGTGTAATAATACGTAAGAATAGTCTGTTATTATATAGATATGAAAAAACACGTAATCCTAGTGTAAAGCTAAAAAAATAATTCTATTATATGAATTCACAGATGAAAATGTAATTATTGGAAGAATACCCAACTGAGAAGTCATTTTTTTTTTTACTTTTAAGAGAAAATACCTATTTTAGGTATTCGTGGGAAGCAAGTAAACCATTCGATCTGACTCCTTCATTTTGTCCGTTTCTGCTAGAAGTACGCCGACTACTTGGACATGTTAATAAGGCTATATCGCCTCACTCAGCTACTAAACTTTATGAAATGCTGAATGAAAAAGTAGCGGAAGTGTTGCTTCAAATGCTTACAACTATATCACTCAAGTGAATGTTGTTTGTTTATTTGTTTCTGGTGCTTCAATCATTTAAATTGTAGATCTTAGCATTAGCGAAAAAATCCAAGTGACAGATCCTTTTAAACTCCAGAATATATATTTCAGTGGATATGGAGCTGCACAGATACTTTATGATGTAACGAATAGTCTCATTCCTGTGCTTAATTCTCTCTACAATCATCATACTAACGCTATTAACCTAGAAACACTCGATGAACCGGTATGTGATTGCTATAAAAATAATGAAAATTGAACTGTAGTGATCATTCTTGAAAATAAGGAGTTCAAATGAGGAATGGTACTGAATTGTATTTCCAGAAATTCGTCGAAGTCATATCATGCTTGAAAATATTATCTCAGTCTACGGGTACAGCAATTCTTTTGTACGAAGAGCTGAAACGAACAACGGATAATTTGACGCCATCTTTACTTGAACCGTTTGATGCAGCAACAATAGAACGTGAACGAGCATTAGAACTGTTAAAACGTCGTTCGGATTTGCAGTTGACAAGTGATGAAACCGTGAAGTTTTAATTGTACTTGATATATCGAATTTGCATTTTAGGAGATGAAAAATTATTCTGTTTGGTTTAATTATATTGCGATAAAATTACTTCCTACCAATTTTCCTGATGATTGAAGCCTCAAAACAACGAGTTTTACATTTTCGATATTACAGTGAGCAGGATTTGAGAAATTTCATGTACTTCTCCCTGCTTTATGCTTCATTACATTTGGTTTCATTAAGATATTTAATCGCCTTTAAACAAGAATGTCAGATATAAGGAAGCATAGAACTGTTATTTGCTTATATTCTAGCGTAAGGACTAATTTTGAGCAAACCAACAATTCAGAGGACTACCACTTATCTTCATATTTTGGATAATTTAACTAGTAAAGATCGAAAATATGCTGTGAGAAATATGAGGTAACAACAGTCGAAGAAAGGTACCGAAGAGAAAGTATTGTCTTAAGTACATGTCCTCAAATTTTTGCATTGAAAGTGTTCAGTTGACAAATTCTTTAATACTTGAACAGTTTTGCAGTTCTCCTCGTCAGCTTCCACTATAATTTTGAGATTAGTGGTGAAATGGATATTGATTCTTTGAAATCTTATGGAATAGAGGTATTGTAGAAGAATGTTTCGACTATTGTTGGGCATGTTTGATGTGAATGCTTCAAATTCAAGAGGTGGCCTACTTTTCCTATCTTCTAAATTACCTTGAAAGCAGGTCATCCTATGGCAACAGAGTGCTTTCTAATAACACCATCTCAACTAATGAATGATCACAAAAATGAGCTGTGAGAATTCCTGGTGCTTTCAGTTGTTTCTTAAATATCAGAACCAGCGTATAAAAAGAGATATGTTAGAAATGTGAGTAGTTCATAAGGTAAAGTAATCGAAAAGAAGTTCTGCGAAACAAGTAACATGACATTTTCAAGCTTGTCATGATAGATCAATATAAAGTTTTTGCGAGAATTTTATTATTGGAAAATTGAATAAATATTTTGGGAAGTGGTTGGTTCTTTTATTCTGGCTTCATCAGGAATAATTTTATAAAATTTTCCATACATATCCACTTAGTCTACACATTTTTGTTTCCCATGACACCACGAGAAAGATGGACCGTCCATATGAGAGAATTAAAAATTATTATTCCCAGCTGTAACCCACTGATTTTGCAGTAAGGCAAATTATGTCCATAAAGAGTTAGTGGTTATTCAAGGGCAACTCGATGTTAATTAGTTGACCATTCAGAAGGTATATATAAAATGTGCGGAATAAAAAACTAAAAATAACAAAACCGATTCTCTTTGCCAGTTCATCACGATGATTGCTATAATTTTGTCAGATTTCAAATATGCTTCATAACAAAAGTCACAAATATGAAATTTATGAAATATTCAGATAAATATTCAAAAAGTACATATAAAACAGTAATCGAAATGTGAAAAATTGGTCGAATTGAAAATATCATTTAGGCAGTGATAGTATTTTTATTAATATAATTAAAGAAATGAACAATATGATTTTCATCTCAAGGAAAAGATTTCTAATTCTTAAATTTGGCAAACCACCACTTTTTTCTTCTTCGAATGGCTAAGTATATGATGTTTGGAACGCAGAGAACAATAATTACCGAGGAAAAATGGAAAGAATGAAATTCTTTTTTTAGGAAGAAATTCCGTTCTACACTTGAATTGCATCCCTTTGATATATATTTTAAAGACATGAACAAGAAATATGCACAAAGCTTTTTGAGTGCGAATTAATATTTCATTTAGTGTTTAAGTGGAGAGCGCATGAGACTCTGAAAATTGTTGATGATGACGTTCATTTTTGAGTAGTTTTAATGCTAAACCTTTTCCATTTTTCATATATTCACTTTCACAGCCAAAATCCATCTCAATATTTCCAGTATTTGCAAGCATTAATGATGCTAAATAGTAACGGCTGATATCATACCGCGTGTTTACATGCTCCATAAGCTGAAATGAGAAACTTCATTAGAAAAACAGAAAGCGTTCCCAATCAACAAAGATTCAAATAACTAATACAGGACACAGTGTTATAAACTCCATTGAGAAATTCATCATAAACAAATAATTTACTCATCGCAACGAGAATTTTCAGACACCACATTTCAATTCATTGAAAAACCAATGAAATGAGATGTAATGTCTGAAATACACGAGGATTTCTTCTTCTCTAAATTATCGTCACTATCAAATTCTCCATTTGATCTAGGAAAAAAACACGAAATGTGAAAATACATCTCTCTTCCAAGAACGGTTGGATTTTTTTGTCAATGAAGTCTATATTAGATCTCTTGATAGCCTTCTATTTAAAATATGTTCACATCAAACATGTTATGCTCGACTGAACAAACCGAAGTTTTAATGAACTAATAATAACCTCAGTGAAAGTTTTTGTCTGTCCAATGTCTTCATATTGCTCCAAGAGTTCGGTACCATACTGGTGTATATTAAATTCTCGACGTGTTTCTTCTTTTTCCAATAAAAGTTGAATTTTTTCTTCCCACTGTTGCACACGCTTGCATAATTTCGATGTAGTTTCTTCCGCTGATGACCAATACCTACACCATATATTGTTTTACTGCGTTATCGCATTTAAGAAAAACATACAAAAACGTAGAATCAGAAACGAAAACACACTAATATGAGCACTCCTTAACAATAATACGAAAGAAATCTTCTAATGAACAAAACTAAAATTAAAAATAACGGGAAAAAAAATGAAGTGGATTAAAGGAAGGAATTAGAGAGGTAAGAGATAACAAACTGTAACATCTTCAACCCTCTAACGGAAGTTTACAGCAGTCTTATTGACAGAAAAACAATAAATGAAAACACATTTCAATTTGAATGTTAAATGAATCTTTCTTACTCGTTACACGGCAATGATCGCATTGAGAAAAAAAAAAAAAATGCAGTCAGAACGATCACCTACAAGTCTGTTGTTAACAAAAACTTTATTAAATTGTTTCAAAAAAAAAAGAATAATCTCCTCACTTTTGTAAGTGAACCTTCAGCAAATCCTGATAGGTCATTTGTTCTGCAGGTTTTAAAAGAAGATCCGGATCGTCAAAATTCATATACATCGAAGAAACGTGAACTCTATCTTCCAAATCATCGTTGGGTATATCAGCAAAAGTCAGATTACCGTCACCTAAGTTAAAAAGTTAAAGATCAAAAAATTACTTGCAGCACTATTTATGAGAGAAATGAAGAGTACTTACCGGTAACACCAGAAGCACCCTCGATTTCATCATCGGAATAACCACTGTTAATGGCTTCATATTCATCTACCTCCAATTCATCCTTATCTGATTGGATATCACCTACAAAAATAAATTCAAGAAATCTATATCGAAGTTTATTCAATATAAGGTATACCAAAGTAAACAAACTATTTCACTCAACAAATGAAAATAAGTTATATAAATTGGTCAATTCGCATAGTTATAGCATAGTTCCTAACCTAACTGCTGCTGCAATCCAGAATGTTGTAAAGCGCGCTCCTTAATTGCATTCATCCGATGTCTTTCTAGATTTCGAATAAGTCTAAAAATAAAGAAAATCAGCTCAACTGGAATGCTAAATGTTTTTTTTGCTAAATGTTTAGCTTAAAAACTCACTTCCCGAAAATAATTGAGAAGTCATCATCTAGGGTATGTGTAGTTCCTTTCGGTAACGAATGATAGACGTGCCGTTGAAGAAATTCATTGAGAGTAGAAAAGATTTTCAACTTTTCCCTTTTTTTTAACCGGCGTTTTTCGACTTGTTCCGGTACAAAAGTAGGCTTGCAAGCCTAAAAAATAATGTCTTTTATAAAACAAAGGAAAATATGAATTTGAATAATGCCATAATGATCAATTATACAATTTCCAGAAAAAAAAATCAAATATGTGAACAGCAATTGAGTTAAATATTTTTAGAACATCGAACTCTATAAACTTGCCTTTGGAAGATCCTCTTTTCTTTAAACTTCTTTGCAAGGAGCATATAAAAAAATGAATTTGCAAATCGACAGTAGTTAGAAAATAGGCAAGAAAAAATACCTGATAAGGTCCATGTTTACATTTCTGTAATCGAAAAAGATCCATAACAGGTTCATCTTCATCTGCCCCATCGAATGCTTCTTCATCAGCCTATGCTTTGAATCAGATTTTGAATTTTTAAATGAAATTATCACACTATAATCCAAAATTTCACTATGGTTTCTTTTTTAAGAAAAGGAAGGAAAAATGACTATTTTCAATCATAATCGTCAAGTTTATATATTAAATGTATTTATAATTCAAACCGGATGACGATCACCATCCTTATCGTTTTCAACATCTCCAAATGCTGGTCCATCAAATCCTAAACCATCAGTTTCATTGTTTTGTATACAGTTCTTGCCAGCATTATCCCTCATCATGTTTACATCAACAACACTATCATTAACAAGTTCCACGTGACTCGTATTACGACATGTTATCGTATTCAGATTGGTAGCAGATGTCATACGACGAACTTTCTCCACTTCACTAGTACAGTTACCAATGTGTTCGTTATCAGCTAAATCTGTAACAGTTATTCATTAGTGCATTGCTCTGCACTCTTTCATTCTTTGTGTATTTACCAAAAAAACACTGAAGTAAAAAAAAAAAAAAATTGTCATGAATGTTGGCATGAAATTACTGCTAATCTTATAGTTTATTCATTATACATTATAGAAAAAAGCTGAAATTATCAGGAGTTCTGAAATAGGTAGATAACTAACATATAATCAAAAAATAAATAGAGCTAATAATATCCTCCTCTTGAATTTGACGATTATGAGATGAAAATATTGAATTCAAAATGAGTTCAGGAATAGAATTAAATAATCCTAACTGTCGTATTCTTGTATTACCACTACTATATCGTAATTCAAATACAAATACGTCAAATTAAAAGTAGATATTATTGTGAAAATTAGTATTATTGTGAAATTTAGTATTATTGTGAAAAATTACCTAACTGAT